TGCTACATGTGCTCTTCTTGGAGACTTCCATGACCTGATGGAATGCAGACTAGTTGGCGACCAGCAGTTGTCATGGGACTTAACTACTGTCTTGGAATTTTTCTTACTTCTTTTTTTTGAGTTGGAGTCTCACTCTGTCACCCAGACTGGAGTGCAGTGGCCACTCCCGGCCACCCCAGCCTCGACCTGCTGGGCTCCGGCGATCCTTCCGCCTCAGCCTTTCGAGTAGCCGGAATTACAGACATGTGCTACCACACCCGGCTGATTTTTTTATTTATTGTAGAGATGAGGTCTCGCAGCCCAGGCGGGTCTCAAACCCGCGGGCTCAGGCAATCCACTCACCTCAGCCTCCCAAAGGCGCGGGATTACAGGCTGAGCCACCGAGCCCGGCTTTTTCTTACTTCTTATCTTAGATTCACTATTGACTGGACATTACTTCTTTCTTTTTCTCGGATTACTTTCATGTTTTGGTGGAGCTCAAATTCTAATCACTTTTTTGGAAAAGGATACTTGTAAAATATATTTCTCCTTTAGTTCACTTGTCTGAAAATAACTTTATTCAACCATTATCATCATGATGCTTTAATTGATCATTTGACCTCACATAAAATTCAAGACTGAAAATTATCTCACTCACAATTTTGAAGGCATTCTTCCATTGTCTTTAGTTTCCAGTACTGCTGTTCAGAAGCCATTTTCGTTCCCAGTAGTCTGAAGTTTCCACAGTATTATGCTTTGAGTACGTCTTCTCATTCATTATACCAAACAATTCATGAGATGTTTTACTCTGGAAACTCAGTTCTGAGAAACTTCAATTATTCTTACATGATTAATAATTTCCTCTGATCTCTTTTTTGAAATGCTTATTAATCTGTTAGAGGGACACTGAACTGATTCTCTAATTTTTTTCTTTTGTCTCATTGTCTCTCTCTTTATCTTCTTGTTCTTCCCAGAAGAAATTCTCAACTTTACCTTTTAACCTTTTTACTGATTTTTAAATTTTTGCTCACATTTTTAATACCTAAGCTCTTATTCTGTTTCTTTTCATAATACTTTTTCTAAAGAGATCTTTGATGATATTAACAACTTGGCACCTTCACCTTTCATTGTCTTTGTTTCCTTGGGGTTTGTTTATTCCGTTTGTTTTGTACAGTTTTTTCTCTTTAACTGAGAAGCTTTCCTCACATGTTTGTTAATGTTTAGCTCTCTATCCAAAATAAGAGTAAGCTGTTAAGCTGATTGAAAGCTCTGTGATCAGCCAGGTGCAGCAGCTCACGCCTCTAATCCCAGCATTTTGGGAGGCAGAGGTGAAAGGATTGCGTGAGCCCAGGGGTTCGAGACCAGCCTGGGCAACTTGGTGAGACCTCATCTCTACAATTAAAAAAAAAAAATTGCTGGGCATGGTGGTGCATGCCTGTAGTTCCAGCTACTTGGAAGGCCGAGGCAGAAGGATCACCTGAGCCCAGCAGGTCGAGGCGGTGGTGACTGTGAGCATGCCACTGCACTCCAACCTGGGAAACAGAATGAGACTCAAACTCAAAAAAAAAAAACGAAAGCTCTGTGATCACGGGTGAGACTGACTTGTGACCTTCTCTGTAAGGCAGTATCTTTGTGTCTTTGCTGGGACTGTTCAGTTTTTCCAAAGAAGACCCTCCAGCCTCCTGACTGAAGTACATAGGCATAAGACCATCTGTAGTGATTTTGGAACTAGATGAGGGAAGGGATTTCATTATCCAGAGTAATCCTCTATTTTTAGTTTCTGCCCTTCCCTGTGCCCAATGTTCCTGAGTTCTGAATCCCTCAGGATTAAACTCTTCAGTCTCTCATTGAAGTGGAGAAAGGAATAGTTGCCTGATTGCATTGAGAAGAAATCGTTCAGTAACCATGTTCCATCTCTACCTCATCGCTACCTCCCTGTTACCCTCTGTTCCTGCGTGCTTCAGGGAATAATCAGAAAGTCTGCTGGCCTCACTTCTAGGTGTGACCTTCTCTCCCTCTGTGAAGCCTTGCCTCCATCTTCTTTCTGCTTCCACATACTCTGACGTCTCCCCATTTCATAAAGGTGGAATTTTAAAAATCCGTTTCTTCTTGGATTAGAGTGAGAGACAGAGGGAGAAGAAGTATCTTTACACCGCCATCTTAAAATCAGTCTAGTGGCCGGGCTCGGTGACTCAGCTTATAATCCCAGCACTTTGGGAGGCCGAGGTGAGTAGATTGCCTGAGCCCGTGGGTTCGAGACCAGCCCCAGCAACTCGGCGAGACCTCGTCTCTACAATAAATCAAAGATTAGCCAGGCGTGGTAGCGCATGTCTGTAGTTCCGGCTACTTGGAAGGCTGAGGCAGAAGGCTCACCAGAGCCAGCAGCAATGCTGGGGTGGTTGTGAACGTGCTACTGCACTCCAGCCTGGGCGAAAGGGTGAGACTCCAACTCAACAACAAAAAAAATCAGTCTAGTAGTAGCTCTTGTTGTAGCACATATATTCTAGATGAGTGTGAAAGAATAACTTCAAACAACTTTTGTCATGTGGATTTTCTGAACCACTGAAACACCACTATATACTTAAAGATATGTACTTGAGTAGATGTGGGTTTAAAGGCTGACTTCTTGGGCTCATGATTATCTCAGAGGTCAATTCGGGGTATGGACTGACCTCAAGGCTATGGAAATTCCCTGATTTGGGAGTGTGAGGAGGCTAATGGCACTCCTATTTTCCCTGTCTGAGTTTGAAATCAATTAAAAGGAGTCAGGCAGATAAAGACCAAAATATCAATTTTATTACTGATTGATGCTGTATGGATGTGGCTTGGGTGTGTAACAGCAGGCTTCCTAATTCAAGGCTACACTAGCACCAGGTCACCATCCCAATTCCAACCACAACTTCTTTGGGAATTCTCCTGGAACTGCTAGGGATCAGTTTCAATTTGCCCTCCTCTTAAAGGCTCTGAAGTGAGTCCGAATCATACACTAATTAAATCAACTCCTAGACAACACTGAGCCCAAAGCTGAAAATTCATCCCCTATCCTTCTCTCTCTCTCTCTCTCTCTCTCTCTCTCTCTCTCTCTCTCTCTCTCTCTTTCTTTTTTAGAAATGGAGTCTTGCTCTGTCACTCAGGCTGGAGCATGGTGATGCAATTATTGTTTACTGTAACCTTGAACTTCTGGGCTCAAGCAGTCCTCTGACCTCAGCCTCCCAAGTGCCTGGGACTACAGGTGCATGCCATCATGTGCAGCTATTTTTTTTGATGTTTTGTAGAGCTGGCGATCTTAAACTCCAGTCCTCAAGTGATCCTCCCTCTTCAGCCTCCCAAAGCACCAGGAGTACAGGCGTGACCCACTATGCCTGGCCCCCTGTTCTTTTTTCCATCTCACAGTATTTCTAGGCGTCCCAACCAGTATAGCTCATTAGGCATCCGGAAAATGAGATTAAATAACAATATTAACATGTTTCAGTAGCACCACCTGTAAAGACTTGTTCCAAACATTGAATATATATTCTCTCCCCATGAATGAAGTTCCTGGGGAAAAATTAAAGTCCTAGTAAATCCTTTTGCAAGTTAAAGTTCCAAGAGAGTGTATTACTTCTTAAGTGATCAATTCCTATCCATTGTCTTTGATTAGTCTCAGCCAGTCTCCAGTGCCTGTCTGGAATCAGAATTCCCTCAGCAGCTGCAGCCCAGACTGGCCGTCCTTGTCACATATGTGGCTCTCTCAGCGCCTCAGGAGCCATGTTAGTTCTGTGCCAAGTCCCTCATGAGTTTCACTGTTAAAAAAAATTCAGGCCAGGGGCAGTGGCTCAGCCTGTAATCTCAGCACTTTTGGAGGCCGAGGCGAAAAGATTGCCTGAGCCCTAGGGTTCGAGAACAGCCTGGGCAACTTGGTGAGACCTCGTCTCTACAATAAATCACAAAAACTAGCTGGGCACAGTGGCATGCATCTGTAATTCCAACTACTTGAAGGCTGAGGTGGAAGGATTGCCTGAACCCAGCAGGTTGAGGCTGCAGTGGCCCTGAGTGTGCCACTGCACTCCAGCCAGGATGACAGAGTGAGACTCCAACTAAAAAAAAAAAAGAGAGAATCCAAAGAATTAATATGACATGCAAGATTATCACAACATTGGCTCCATACCCATTTAAATCAGCAAACAAATATTAAACAACATCCTTAGAGGGGCTATCCCAGGCAAAATTATGTTCCCCGAACCTGGAGCTTACTGTTCCCAAAGACCACAACAGGTGCATAATATGTGCATCAGAGTAAAAGAAGGTGAATGGAGAAAAATCATCATCTCAGATTCTATAAGATAGTTATTTACTGTCAAATTATAATCAGAAGTTTGCTTGATGAGCTCAGAGTCAGAACAAAGGGAATTCATTTTCCATAAATATGATTCCAGCGTTTGACATCATCAGGCTGCGACCTTATCTACCAAAGCTATATCTGTTAGATCAGCCTGACGAGCTACATCTGTTGAGTCAGGCTGACAAGGTCCCTTCTGGGAACATCTATTGATTTGACTTGACCTGGTAGGTAGCTGGGAGGATCCTTTCTAACACTGAGAATCTGAGAGTCGCTTGCCTTTCTGCAATTTAAGAAGGAATAGAATTGCCACTACTGCTTCCACTTGTACTCAAGGAGGTTTCAGAGCCTGGCGCCTTCTGAGACCTGATAGAGCAGAGCTGCTAAGCAAGCGACAGCAACCGTTTTGCCATCTGGCCTCTCTGATATCAGACACCTCCCCAGCTAGGGGAAGTTAGAGTCAGTGTTTAAGTAGGTATGACTCTCCACAGTTCTGGTGTCATGGACTACTGCTGAGAAATGCATTTCATTGTGTCTCACTGAAAGAGAGCTAGCTACACAGGACCAGTAGAGATTAAGGTCTATCTTGCTCAGAATAATTTGGTTTTGTTCTTTCTTCGGGGAAAGTAATAATAACAGGGAAGTTAGAGGGCTGTATGAATGGGGACCGAGCACTGACCGGCCATTGGCTCTCTTCCTGTAGGATTCTCAACAAGCAGCAGAAGTACCTTTGACGACTCTTGTGAACTTTGTGGACATTACCCAGAAGCCAGAGCCTCCGAGGGGCCAACCCAGAATGGACTGGAAATTGCCATTCGACTTCTTCTTTCCCTTCAAGGTGGCATTCAGCAGAGGAGTAGAGTCTCAGAGGGGCTCAGTCTCTCCCCTCCTTACCCTGTGCCTCTTGCTACTTGGAGTTCTCCACCTAGAAACTAAGTGAAGAAAAGAGAATAATTCAATTTCAGTCTTCCCTATGGGAAGCTCCACAGAGGCCTACTTATCTTGGCTAGCTAGATCCTCCGCTGATAACGACCAGAGGCTAACAGAGGACCCACCTGAAGGAATCTTTGTACCTGAAAGAAGGCATTCTAGAAAAGCGATACATGTCTTTTATTCATCATAGCTCTCTGCTTAGGGCTCTGCTGGCCACCAGGTACACGTTAGGTTCTCTGCATCTCAAGCTGGGAAGGCAAAGAGGCTTCCTCCAGCCCTTCTGATGGTGTCATGCCTAGCTAAAGGTTTGCAAGAGCCCTGCAGAGGAACACCCTCCTGCTGTCACCCAGAGTGAACTCAGGAAGAGCTGCTCTCTGGACTTTGGAGAAGCTGACTGTTCAGGATGGAAAACTGCTGGCTGGCTATATATTCTGTCTGGCTCCCATGCCAAAGTCTGACCACACCCTTTGCCCAAGCATGAGTGGGGAAAGCAATTCTTTCTGCTCAATTTCCAAAATGCGTGGGGAATCTCAGCTTCCTTTTCTACTAGCGAATGACCCCTACCATTTACCTCTGTTCTTCCTTTCCCTCCTTTGTGGTGAAGAGAAATAAAACAGAGTTTTGCTCTACTAATTCCAGCCGCATGGCAGAAGTTAACTGGCCTGTGATCTACCTCCTGATTATTTTTCTGTGTATGTGAGGTTTCGTTTTTGTTTGAGTTGGGGTCTCATTGTCGCCCAGGCTGGATTCCAGTGGCACCATCACAATTCACCACAGCCTCAACCTCTTGGGCTCAGGTGATCCTTCACCTCAGCTTCCTGAGTAGCTGGGATCACAGGCACATGCCACCATGCCTAGCTAATATAAGGTCTTGCTATGTTGCCCAGGCTATATGTAAGGTTGGAAAAAAAAACGTTCACATATACTGCAATAGCATTTAAATCAAGGGACTTGGGTTCTTTTCATCGGAGATACACTCTGAGGACCTCAATTTTGTGGCTCTGACATTAGTAGTGAATTCAGTATACACTTTTTTTTTTTTTTTTTTAGCATAAGGCAGTGAGAGCTTACAAAAGGCCCTGTCTGACTGACCAATTCAGAGATTTTAGTTTGTAGAGAAAACTGCTTAGAAAGGTAATTTTTGGCGAGGTGCGGTAGCTCAGTTTGTAATCTCAGCACTTTGGGAGGCCAAGGCAAGAGGATTGCTTGAGCCCAGGAGTTTGAGACCAGCCTGGGCAACCTGGTGAGACCTCGTCTCTACAGTAAGTCACAAAAATTAGCCAGGTGTGGTGGCATGCATCTGTAGTTTCAGCTACTTGGAAGGATCGCCTAAGCTCAGCAGGTCGAGGCTGTGGCGGCCATGAGCGTGCCACTGCACTCCAGCCTGGGTGACAGAGTGAGACTCCAACTCAAAAAAAAGAAAGAAAGGTAATTTTCTGTTGTCATTCTTGAGTAGAGAGGAATTGATTGCAATTGTGATAGAAATCTTGGAGAGCGTACAGAGTTTCAGTCCTAGAGCGACATTATGCTAGCCTTGTCATGTGGGCTAAGTTTTTGATGGAAGATGTGACAGATCTACTTGTTTTAAACATTAAATCCTTTTACAAAGAATGGAATATAAAGAATAGAATGTAACGGAATAACTCTGGTGAGGCTCTTTGTGAAGCAGGGAGTTGTAAGGTCAGCCCCTCAGTGACCCAGTCGTCTAGTGGAAGAAGACTGAGGTGTGGCACAGGAGATAAGTTTGTTCACAGAATCAGGCGGTGTGGCCTGGATGGGCGAGGGCCAAGCTTGGGAAGTGGTGAGATGGGAACTGACATGGCAGGACAGGTGGGACTGGCAGAGTATGTAGGCAGGAGGAGGTGACCCCAGGAGCCTAGAACAACCTGAATGGAGGCCCAGGGGTTCGCGTGGGCCAGAGGGTTGAGAGGCCCAAGTGACTGTGGTAGAAACACTGAGTGGGCAAAACCGCTAAGGTAAGCAGGCTGGCAGCTCATGTGGTGACCTGAATGGTGGCCAGAGAGGATTGGGAGATGGTTTTTCTCCACAGCAGATGAATGCTCTGAAATTAAAATTGTCTTTTAATAAAGCATATGCTTAGTTAAAATAAATCCTGCCTCATAAACAGAAAAATGCTCAGAAAAACACCGTCTCTGATTTGCCATTTTGTCCTCTTCCACAGTGCCTGGAAAGCAACCAACTTCCCTGGAAGGAACTTCATAGCAGTTGTTGTTAAGCTACAGGAAATACTTCTCTGTCAGGAGATCACACAAGGGGGTCAGGAGCTGGGAAGCTGATGGCACAGTTCCCACCAGGGTCCATGACATCGACGTTATTTAAGTCAGAACCTTGCCTCCAAGGAGACCTGCAGTAAAACTGACCACAGAGCCCTCAGAGTATTTAGGCTTTCCGGGTTTGGGCTTCTTTTTTTTTTTTTGCTTTGTTTTCTTTTTCTTTTTTTTTTTTTGAGTTGGAGTCTCACTCTGTCACCCAGACTGGAGTGCAGTGGCCGCTCCCAGCCATCGCAGCCTCGACCTGCTGGGCTCCGGCGATCCTTCTGCCTCAGCCTTCTGAGTAGCCGGAATTACAGGCATGTGCTACCATGCCCGGCTGATTTTTTTGATTTATTGTAGAGATGAGGTCTTGCTGCCCAGGCGGGTCTCGAACCCGCAGGCTCAGGCAATCTACTCACCTCAGCCTCCCAAAGGCGTGGGATTACAGGCTGAGCCACTGAGCCCGGCTTGTTTTTTGTTTTCTTTCAAAATATTTTTTTTATAAACAATATTTTTATTGTGATATTGTGGGGTGCAGTTAAGGGTTAGGTATACAAACATGCTTTGTTCAGGCACCCTTGTTGATAAGAGGTGTCTCCCCATGGGTTTGGGCTTCTTAAAGAGAATTGTGTGACAACTCATCCTGGGTGATGAAAAAGCAGCCATCCGATCCACTCCCAACACACTACGAGTCCTCTTCAGAATCTGGTCCCTCTACGCCTCTGTTCAGATCCTTATTCTCATGCCCAAGTGCTATGAAACCGTTCGGTGCCTTTAAAAATGTTGTGTATGGTATAATTCACGTACCATAAAATTCACCCTGTGCAATTCAGAGATTTGAAGTTCGCTCACAGAGTCATGCACCCATCACCAGGACATTTTCATCTTCCTAAAAGAAACCTTGTAACCAATACAGTCACGTCTCATTTCTCCCCCTCCATTCCTAGCAGTCATGAATATCATGTGTCCGTAGATGTGCCTGTTCTGAACTTCTCATATAAGTGGACTCATATAATAAGTAGCCTTTTGCGTCTGACTCCTTTCAGTTGGCATTATATTTTCAACAGTCATCTATGTTGTAGAATGTATGAGTACTCTGTCCTTCCACGTGGGGTGGCTCATGCCTGTAATCCCAGCACTTTGAGAAGCCAAGGCGGGAGACTCACTTGAGGCCAGGGGTTCAAAACCAGTCTGGACAACATAACAAGAACTTGTCTCTACAAAAATAGTTTAAAAGTAGTCTACTGCTTTTATAGCCAATAATATTCCATTATATGGAAAACCATATTTCATGTATCCATTTATCAGTTGATAGATAACCTTTTTGGCTAGTATATTTCTATTTTTTTTTGGCAAATATGAAGAATGCCACTATAAACATTCATGAAAGTTTTTGTGTGGTCATGTGTTTTTATTTCTCTTGGGTATACATATAGGAGTGAAATTGCTGGGTCATATGGTAACCTAGGTCTGACTTACTGAGAAACTGCCACACTGCTTTCCAAAGTGACTGTACCAGTTTACAGTTCCACCAGCAGTGTATGAGGGTTCCAGTTTCTCCACATCCTGGCCCACATTTGTTACTGTCCTTTCTTATTTTACCCATCCCAATGGGTGTGAAGTGGTATGTCATTATGATCATTGTGCTTTTTAAACTGTAGCAGAAAGAGATCTTACACCAGAAATCAGCACGTCTGCTCTTCCAAAGCAGGAAGAACGCTTCTTTTCTGCGTCTCAAAGTAACCTTCTGAGGTGCTTTTTTTGTTTTGAGTTGGAGTCTCACTCTGTCGCCCAGACTGGAGTGCAGTGGCCACTCCCGGCCACAGCAGCCTCAACCTGCTGGGCTCTGGCGATCCTTCCGCCTCAGCCTTCCGAGTAGCCGGAATTACAGGCATGCGCCACCACGCCCAGCTGATTTTTTGATTTATTGTAGAGATGAGGTCTCGCTGCCCAGGCGGGTCTCGAACCCGCGGGCTCAGGCAATCCACTCACCTCAGCCTCCCAAAGGCGTGGGATTACAGGCTGAGCCACCGAGCCTGGCTTGAGGTGCTTTTTAAAAATACAGATTCCTGAGCCCTACCCCTAGAGAATCACTGGTGGAAGGGGCGGGGAGACCTGAGAAGTGGGGGCTCCAAGAATCTGTAAGTTTTTAAGCTTTCCTGGTGCTTCTGGTATGAAGCTTGGTTTATGAAACTATGTGATGTTGCATAGTGTGACTGGAACTGATTTCATTTGTGTCCAGTCATTGTCAACTCATGACTATGTCCACCTTTTCCCTGAGAATTTCCATCATTCAGAGCTTTCAAAGGGGGTGCCCAGCCTCTGTGTTTCCTTGATGTGCGTGACCCTCTTCTCCCTGCCACAACCAACCGGACCAACGATGGAGTCCTGAGCCAAGCTAGGCCAGTAAGATTTTCTCTCCCATGAATTTGGAATTGAGACCAAGACTTGAAGGTAGTTGGGAGTGGGAACTAACTGGAAGGATATTTTTATAGCTGAGGAAGCCATGTTCCACCAAATGTTCACTAATGGAAAGTCTGTCAAATTTGGGAGGGGCGAAGCACGGAAGGAAACAAACAGATGGACAAGAAGTGTAAACAATAGATTCAGAGATGGAGGACTGTCTTGGTTACCAACTTTTCAGGTTCTTATCCCTGCCCCTAGTGAGACCCAACTTTACCTCTTGCCCTTGAAGACTGTAAGTTGCTCCTTCTAGTAAATTGCCTTGTTTTAATGAGTTTCTGTTCTTTATAATTAAACAACTTGACACTACAATAACATAAGCCGCATCTAAAGAAGCAACCCTCGATCCTGCATGCTTCTCTTCCTTTACTTTTTTCTCTTTCAAGACAGGGTCTCACTCTGTCACCCAGGCTAGAGTGCAGTGGCACAATCATGGCTCACTGCAGCCTCGAGTTCCTAGGCTCAAGTGATCCTCCCACCTCAGCCTCCCAAGTAGTTGGGACTATTGGAGCATACCACCACACCCAGCAAATTTTTTATTTTTTATTTTTTTTGTAGAGACAGGGTCTCACTGTGTTGTCCAGGTTAGTTTCAAACTGCTGGCCTCAAGCAATCTTCCAGCTACAGCCTCCGAAAGTGCCAGGATTACAGGCATAAGCCACTATGCCAACCCCAACCCTGCATTCTTATAGATTAACCCTAAATGTTCTTCTTCCTATGTGACTTTCTGGTTATGACCAACCTTGTTTCCATTGGCTGGGACAAAAATCAAATCCCTCCAGTGGAAAAAAAAAAAGAAAAAAGTAGGAAAAATATCATCGATGAATTACTTTCTTAACTTCTGTGAAGGGACAAACTCGTTCATGTGTCCGGCATTTGACCTGTTCTAATCCATAG